GGGATCGGCTTCACTCCCTCAACGGCCGATCACTCCTTGTTCATGCTTGGCGAGGGGGAGCAGAGGAGCTTCATGGTGGTTTATGTGGATGACATTCTTATATTCTCACCCTCCTCTGACCTTGTGAAGGAGGTGATGCTGAAGCTGCATGACAAGTTCAAGTGCAAGTCCCTTGGTGACGTGAACTTCTACCTTGGGCTCCACATCGAACGAGACGTGGAGAAGCGGAGCATGCGAGTGCACCAACGGAAGTACCTGGAGGCGTTGGCTGCCAACTTCGGCCAGAGTGAAGGTCATGTGGCTACTCACTTTCCCTCTGGGTTCAATGTGTTTGAAGGGACCAGAGGAGGAGAGCGTTTGTGAAGAGGAGAGGCGCCGTTTTCACTCGTTGGTGGGCAGCCTCATGTATGCGGCGGTAAACACCCAACCGGACGTTGCGTTTGCTACCGGGCAGCTGGCTAGGGTTGTGCAATGCCCTAATGAGGAGCAGGTAGCAGCTGGAATGAGGGTGGCCAAGTATCTTGGCCAAACACCGACCGTTGGACTGCAATACTCGGCGGCGGCACAAAGGCGCCAAAAGGGCGCGGATGGTCATCACAAAAACCCTATGCCAAGTTTGGTCGAATTTTGATTTCGATTGTCTTCGCGTAAAAAAATCCGTAGCCAATTTGGACCGACGGTTGGAGTCATTTGATAGGAGCTCCGAGACACATCTCGCGACAAGGCTTGGCTTGGTTCAAGTTCCAATTTGGCACGCGAGCTTTTCCGGATGACATTCCGACGCAATCCGTTTTGTTGCAAATTCGTGACCAATTTATTCAATACTAAATTCTGTTTTTGTTCATTTTGGATTTTGGGGATTTCAAAATTGCATTTATTATTGCGGTTTACAAGAACCATTATTCAGCATGCTAGCAACAATCAGTCTTAGCACCAGGTCAAATAGCCTACGCATTGGCGGGCCTTGAAAGCGCCCGGTGGGCAAGGACGACATCTCCAAGGCCGCCGTCGTCGATGAGGAACTTGTTCGGAAAGACGAACGCACCCATAGCCGGATCGTGGGGGATCCTCCGCTCCACGACAGCAAAATGGATCATCTGTTTGACCTTTTCGCACCACTCCTGGTAGTCTGGCCTGTTCTGCTCTGGCTGGCTACTGATTCGCTTGCGACGCTTATCCTGCAGAAGGGGCCATTCGATCTGCAATGTGGTGTAGTAGGGTTGGGTGGGTGGTTTATGAGGAGGGTAGGTTACGGGTAAATGAGGCAACTGAAAGCGGTGATGCAGTCGTCACTATCTACGTAACTGCAAAGGCCTAATCGACCAGGGATTAGGGTTGAAGTACAGGCAAGGGGTTAAGGGGATGAGGCATGGGGGTACAAACACATATCTGCATCCTTACCGAAAACAGGCCCCATGCCACCATGCGGCTCTTGAACTTGGTGAACACCGCCCCGCCCCTCTTGAAGGAGATCTTGAACGCATAAGCGAACAAGGGGTTGCTGAAGGGCGTCCCGGTGGCCTTGTCAAAGTGCCAGTTGAGGGCCCACTGTTCTGTTTTTTGGCAGGGAGGGTATGGGTTGGAAAGGGTTTTGTAGAGAAATCAAGTAGGGGGATGAGTGTCAGGGTGAGCCACATCGCACGGTGATATGTAGCTGCCAACTGGCATATGGTAGGGCATATTGTGTTTTCGAGTTGCACATACCATCTCTGTACTCGGCTAGGAGTTGAACGTCATCGAACCAGGTCGTTGGGTGTAGCTCAGTGGGCAGGCTATCCACGAGATGGCTGTAATCAGCAAGGCCCATGCCGGTGTATGTTGCTGGCCTGAGGGTGGAGTTGATAGTTGACCTTGTTGAGGACAGCTGGTGGTTGAAGACTCCCATGGTTGACTTGTCATTGTGCAACCACAGCAGCTTCATTGCCTCGAGCCCTTCTGCAGACAAGTGGACAGAGAACGCTTCGAACACTTCCTCCGGTGCAGGGTAGTACTGTATTTTCTCCGGCGGGTTCAGAAACATGAGCTGAGAGCACACTAAGTAGGCTTTGTTCTGCGCAGTGGTGTAAGGTATACAACACGACATGGGAGAGAGAAACCAGCAGTTATGTGGGTGGCCGCGTGACCATGGGATTGTGACTAGCAACACTGTGTGAACTTGCCACGTCACACCCTACGCCATCCGACACGTCCACCAACAACCCGGCCCATTCTGCCACGTCACACCTCCCTACCACAAGCCACGTCACCCCCAACCCACCTGACACGCCTCGCTTCGTCATGCGCAGTTGTCACGTGTACCTTTTCTAAGCCGCCACGTCATCCCCAACCCTCACATGCTGCCACGTCACACCCACCTGCATCCGCCACGTCATCCCCAACCCTCACCTTCCGCCACGTCAGACCCTCCTGCATCCGCCACGTCCACCAACCAGCCCCACGTGCCACATCACACCCTCCTGCATCCGCCACGTCCACCAACAACCAGCCCCACGTGCCACGTCACACCCTCCCATCCCATGCCACATCACCCCCCCACCCACCTGACACGCGTCGCCTCGTCAGTGGCCGCTCCTGTGTACCATTCCAAACCGCCACGTCAGCCCCAACCCTCACATGCTGCCACGTCACACCCTTTTGCATCCGCCAACAACCCGCCCTACTTGCCACGTCACACCCCCACCAAGAGCGACGTCACCCCCCACCCACCTGAAACGCCTCGCTTCGTCATGCGCCGCTCACGTGTACCCTTGTAGGGTGCCACGTCATCCCCAACCCTCACCTTCCCCCACGTCACACCCACCTGCATCCGCCACGTCATCCCCAACCCTCACCTTCCGCCACGTCACACCCTCCTGCATCCGCCACGTCCACCAACCAGCCCCACGTGCCACGTCACACCCTCCTGCATCCGCCACGTCTACCAACAACCAGCCCCACGTGCCACGTCACACCCTCCCATCCCATGCCACGTCACTCCCCCACCCACCTGACACGCGTCGCCTCGTCCGTGGCCGCTCCTGTGTACCATTCCAAACCGCCACGTCAGGCCCAACCCTCACATGCCGCCACGCCACACCCTTTTGCATCCGCCAACAACCCGCCCTACTTGCCACGTCACACCCCCACCAAGAGCGACGTCACCCCCCACCCACCTGAAACGCCTCGCTTTGTCATGCGCCGCTCACGTGTACCCTTGTAGGGTGCCACGTCATCCCCAACCCTCACCTTCCCCCACGTCACACCCACCTGCATCCGCCACGTCTTCCCCAACCCTCACCTTCCGCCACGTCACACCCTCCTGCATCCGCCACGTCCACCAACAACCAGCCCCACGTGCCACGTCACACCCTCCTGCATCCGCCACGTCCACCAACAACCAGCCCCACGTGCCACGTCACACCCTCCCACCCCATGCCACGTCACCCCCCACCCACCTCTCACGCGTCGCCTCGTTACGCGCGGCTCCTGTGTACCATTCCAAACCACCACGACAGCCCCAACCCTCCCATTCTGCCACGCCACACCCTTTTGCATCTGCCAACAACCCGCCCTACTTGCCACGTCACACCCCCCACCAAGAGCCACGTCACACCCCCCACCAAGAGCCACGTCACCCCCCACCCACCTGAAACGCCTCGCTCCGTCATGCGGCACTCCCTTGCACCCTTTCACACCTGCCACGTCATATCCCAACCCTCACCTTTTGCCATGTCACACGCACTTGCATCCGCCACGTTCACCAACAACCCGCCCCACTTGCCACGTCACACCCACCCACCCCATGCCACGTCACCCCCCACCCACCTGATACGCGTCGCCTCGTCACGCGCCGCTCCCGTGTTCCCTTCGAACCCGCCACGTCATCCCCAACCCCGACCTTGTTGCCACGTCAACCCCAACCCGCCCCATTTGGCCCGCCACATACCGGGAATGGGTTTGTCTCCTGCAACACTAGCACTCGTGCCTTGTCCACGGCGCTCATCGGCGGCGGGGTACCAGCCATAGGCAGGGCTGCCGACCCGCCGGCATAGCTGGCAGGTACTCCACGACGCAGGCCGAGCTGTGCAAACATGGCGTACATCTCAGACCGCAGCGCCTGGAACTCCTCCCGTGTAACAAACTGCTCGTGCTCCTCACTTTCACCTAGGGCACCCATGAGCGGAGGAAAAGGGTGTGAAGAATCCCCCCTCTGGCCAAGGGTATCAACGTCTTCTGCAGTAGTCCCGTGTGCCCTCACACTATCACGCTGGCGGGAAAAGGGGAGCTCAGGGAAGGGATTGGCATAAGTGCCTGCCTGATGCCCGCGCGAAGGACCGGCGATGGGGGAGACCGCCCTGCCCCGGACAGGAGAAGCGTGGAGTTGCCGAAATGGGTACGAGGGTGAGGCGAGTGAGGAGTGCGTGACGGGGACGGGTGGAGGGGATTCGGATTCCTCTCCTCTTGGCGCGCCGGGTGCCGTCGCAGCGACTTTGCTGGGGCCGGCCCATGGCGTGTAGAACCTTGGTGTGCCGGACGACAGCGGTGTAACACTCGCTATTCCGGCAGCCTTCGTTAGATGCATTCGTTGCACGCTTAAGGGCGGCCCAATGCCTGTAACGCGAGGGGCTGAGATGTAGAGGGAGTGGGAAAATAAAAATTGGAGTCGATCGGTTTCAAGGCGGGGCCAGACATGCATGCATATTCAGAAAGGTTTGAATCTAGATCGGGTTTAGGGTTGTACTGGTTTGAGACAAGAGGGTTTACCTTGCTTGGCAGATTCGTCAACCTTCTCCTTCCCTGCAGGAGAGAAACAATGTGAATAAAGGGTGTTATTTGGGACGGTTTAGCAGATTGTTTAACACGTCACGCCAGTTGTATTGGACACAATGCTCACCTTTCTGTTGTCCCTTCGGTTTTGGGGCAGCCTGCGCCTTCTCGTTGCCACCTTTCCGCGGGGTGCTTCGGCGCACGCTGCGACGTTTACCGGCAGGTTCCTTCTTGCCGGTACCCACTCGAACCCCTTAGGCGCGGCCACCCTTTCCTCCTCCATCCCCTTTTGCACCCTGGCTCCCTTGCTTTTTACCAACCCCTTCACTTTCGACCTTCACCTTACGCGCCTTCGGTTTGCCCGCTGCTTCGCCGCGCACAGCGTCACCTGCCCCGCGTTTTCGGGAAGGGCGAGTCCGGCCCCCCTCCTTCCCTGTTCCACTCACCCGACCGCCACGCCCGCCCCGTCTCTTCCCTGGCGCCACATCCTCCTCCTCCTCCTCCTCCTCCTCCTCCTCCTCCTCCTCCTCCTCCTCCTCCTCCTCCTCCTCCTCCTCCTCCTCCTCCTCCTCCTCCTCCTCCTCCTCCTCCTCCTCCTCCTCCTCCTCCTCCTCGTCACCCTGCTCCTCCTCCTCATCCCCCTCCTCCTCCTCCTCCTCCTCCTCCTCCTCCTCCTCCTCCTCCTCCTCCTCCTCTTCGTCCTCCCCGCCATCATTCTCATCTTTAGCATCCTCCCCAACATCCGCGTCTTGCTCCTCCGCTTCCTCTTCATCCTCCTCTCCCTCCGCATCCTCCTCCTCATCCTCCTCCTCCTCCGTATCACCGGGGTCTTCATCGCCCCGTTTCGGCCTCGTTCCTGTCGCTGCTTTCTTGCCTCTCCTTCCGCCAGATGCTTTTCTTGCTGCGGGGCGGCCCTTCTGGCGCAATGCTTGACCGCCCGCCTTGCCACTAGCTTCCTTGGCGCCTCGCGGTGTGTCAACTTCCGCGCCTCCGGCGTTGTCAGCACTACCTGTCGTCTGGCGCCTCTTCGCCCGCGTGGTGAGGTCCCCGGGCACGGCGGTGTCATCATCCTCCTCCCCATCGCTCTTCCTTTGCCTACGCCTTCCCCGTCCACCAGAAGGAGGAGAGCCACCGACCAGCCCCACCGACTCGTGCTGTGCCACCTTGTCCTTATCCAGCACGGCTGCAGAAACTCGACCACGCTCGGCTGGAGCAGCGTCAGATGGTGTTGCGTTGCCGCCTCCTCGAACTCCTTGGTTGCGGCATGCTCGGCGCGAGGATCGCCTCCGTGATTTCCCCCTGTCGCCGAACCCTCCATCTCCGCCGACGGGAGTGCAAGACTCGCGCTCCCTCGCACCCGATCTTCGTTGCCGCCAGTGGTGCCGTCTTTACTCGGACCGGGCTCGGTTCCAGCAGAGGCACCATCCGCAGCTTTGTTCACTGTAGAAACACGCTTGCGTGGCGTTGGTTTAGGCCCCTTGTCTGCCGCTTTCTTGCCGGCCTCCTGTTGACCGCGCGCGACCTTTTTTGCCGCCGCTTTTTTCGGCCCAATGCCACGAGCGACAGACGCATTGTTTTTTTTAGCGCCGCTACCACTCTCCCTATCGATTTGTTTAGACGTCCCCCTTGTCGCGCGGCGGCCGGCCTGTTCCTCCTCCATTGCTTGGTTACGTGTTGCACGTGTCATGGTAATCGTAGGAAGAGCAAAGTTGCAAATCGCGCGGAAGGGTTGAGCCGGTTTCGAAAGGGTTTTGCTACTGAATCCCACGAAGGCATAATCGGCCGTCTATCACTGTTATGTGTTTACGAAAACAGCCGCTTCAACTAAGTCTGAAATAGTAGCCACTATGCTTCGCGCTAAGGCCGATCTGGAGAGGCGTGTGTCAAGGCAACGAGCAGCGTCAAAGTGTTGGCCCAGGGAGTGACGGAAGCAGGTGGGTGGGGCACGAGGGTGGTTGGGGTGAGTTGCGAGACTAGAGAGAGAAATGTAACCCTATCAGGCTACATTGGATGGTGTACGTGTAGCCACCCTAGCATAAATCCACCTTCCGCTCGATCTCAGCCGCCCAATGGCTGAAGTACCTCTTGGCTGATGACTGTGTTGCGGGGGGAATCGTTTGAGATGCGTCGGCCAATGACGGTTGCCAACACATCAATCACAACAAAGGGTAAACCTGGTGTGAAACCTACAGTGCGAAATTAGTCAAATCCTTGCAAAGTACAGTGTTTTCGGTTGCAAAGTAACAACGCATTTCATCAAACTCTAAGTTGCAACTGGTTTTGTACGGGGTTGGGGTAAGTTAATCGGTGATTCTCACGTCACACACACAACGACCGTCTTGAATTATTACTTAGGAAGGATGTACTGCGCACTTTTAGGCTTTGCCACAATGGTTTAGGGCCAGCGGACGTCATTCTAACACGATTATCAATAATAACAAACGTGAATCCGTTGTGGTATGGTGTTGGATTGTCATCCATTCTTGCACAGACATTACACAAGGTGCTTAGAAGGAGTGGTATGAAGCACAGGCCCAACGCACAAGCGTAGATGCGTTATCGACAGTCATGTTTAGACTGTGCGACGATGCATCGTTCAGGCCTCCGCGTTGCGCGACTTGGTGAATCCGTTGTGGTATGGTGTTGGATTGTCATCCATTCTTGCGCAGACATTACACAAGGTGCTTAGAAGGAGTGGTATGAAGCGCAGGCCCAACGCACAAGCGTAGATGCGTTATCGACAGCCATGTTTAGACTGTGCGACGATGCATCGTTCAGGCCTCCGCGTTGCGCGACTTGGTGAATCCGTTGTGGTATGGTGTTGGATTGTCATCCATTCTTGCGCAGACATTACACAAGGTGCTTAGAAGGAGTGGTATGAAGCGCAGGCCCAACGCACAAGCGTAGATGCGTTATCGACAGCCATGTTTAGACTGTGCGACGATGCATCGTTCAGGCCTCCGCGTTGCGCGACTTGGTGAATCCGTTGTGGTATGGTGTTGGATTGTCATCCATTCTTGCGCAGACATTACACAAGGTGCTTAGAAGGAGTGGTATGAAGCACAGGCCCAACGCACAAGCGTAGATGCGTTATCGACATTCATGTTTAGACTGTGCGACGATGCATCGTTCAGGCCTCCGCGTTGCGCGACTTGGTGAATCCGTTGTGGTATGGTGTTGGATTGTCATCCATTCTTGCACAGACATTACACAAGGTGCTTAGAAGGAGTGGTATGAAGCGCAGGCCCAACGCACAAGCGTAGATGCGTTATCGACAGCCATGTATAGACTGTGCGACGATGCATCGTTCAGGCCTCCGCGTTGTGCGACTTGGTGAATCCGTTGTGGTATGGTGTTGGATTGTCATCCATTCTTGCACAGACATTACACAAGGTGCTTAGAAGGAGTGGTATGAAGCGCAGGCCCAACGCACAAGCGTAGATGCGTTATCGACAGCCATGTTTAGACTGTGCAACGATGCATCGTTCAGGCCTCCGCGTTGCGCGACTTGGTGAATCCGTTGTGGTATGGTGTTGGATTGTCATCCATTCTTGCACAGACATTACACAAGGTGCTTAGAAGGAGTGGTATGAAGCACAGGCCCAACGCACAAGCGTAGATGCGTTATCGACAGCCATCCATTCTTCGATATTCGTTCTTCACGGTGCGGCACGATATATGTATTTGCTCCAAGCACCAATCATACGTTACGGCATGGAGTTACCGGGTAGTTCCCGTATCGTTATCGAGTAAGGATTGTTCAAGAACAGTCCCAAGGATATGAATGTTTACTATTTATGAATGATACGAGTTTCTTGTTAAGTTGTAACTGTACATATGCATTTCCAGGTTTGTTTGACGCCTCTGTAGCTCACCTACGTAATTCCGATTTTGAGGCTATATCGATTCGCGACACAATCAGAGATCCAAACGGATCTCTTCCCGCTCTTCCTCATCCTCCTCGACTCTCACGCACAGTTCATAAACACTTGTTCTAGACTCAATAGGCACGTCCTTCTCGCCTTGCTTGCGAATCACACACATGACCATGAGACTTAAGATCCAGTGCATCTCCCCTGGCCACGTCGTGGTCGCTGTAAACGGGGGCGACACGCCTTGTAGGGAAGACGGCCCGTGCTATGGGCGGTCTGTATCGTGCCTGGTAACGACCACGCGGCTCGACAACGTTAGCCAGTCATATACATTAGCGCGTGCGTCAAGTGCCAGTCGTGCAGTGATACAAGCCGCCCACCACAGTGCGCGCATTTGCGATGATCGTGTAGCTGTCACAGACTTCTTGAACGAGGTAGTTAATGCGTTCACAAGCTTCATCACGGGTAGTAGCTTCATAGGCCAGGTCTTGACTCTACAACAGATCCGTAACTGATGGGCTCTTTACCAGGCGTCGTTTGCGAGTTCTGCAACAGATGGTTCCCCAACGCCCAAGTTTATGGCGGTCATAAGTCACGGCGGACCCCTTGCCAAGGACTATCCGCCGTGGCGAGGCCCACGCGATCTGCACCGACCGCCGGTCTTCACGCTTTGCTATTCGTCCACGACATTCTGTCGGACGCTCCAGCCGCTCCCCGTTCACCTACAGCGTCTAACGCATCCAACGCCGTCAGTGTGAGCCGACCTCCACGCGTTCCTGATGCTCACGTTGACGAAACTCCCAACGACGTGAACGAGGGGCCTCCTGAAGATGAACATCAACCACGGCATGGAGCTCCTGCGGCTGAGACGACTGACCATCCTGAGAGCCGGCCCGAAGGGAGTCATGCCGCGCCGCCAACCGTCATCTCCGGACAGAGCAATGCCATGCCCCTCAATCCGCTCGCGTTGAAGCTACTGCATTTCGTCCGGCGCGTGAATGGCGGAATGGGAATGGCCGAGGTTGACATCAACGGCCTGCTTCAGCTAGTCGTAGAGCCCGGCCTTGCGCCTCTTGTGAACTCGGAGCTCCGGAACTGTAAGGATCTGGAGCGGTTCGAGTTGGAGCGCTTGGCAGGGCTCAATCGCGGATGGTCGGTGGCGACCTTCGAGATTGACGGTCATCCACCACAGCGCTTGCTCTTCCAGAACTCAGCCCAGGTAAGCCGACTTTGCATTCAAGGCCGTGAAATGATGATGAGGCACACAGGGTTTGCATGTACTTAGTTATCCTTGTATTAACCGTACACCCACCTTCTCCGCCACGAACCATGCCTCTCCTCTCACCTGCTTTCGCCACCGTACACCAGGCATTCGCTGAAATGTTTGGACATCCCAACAACGCGCCCGGCTTCAAGCTCAAGGCGCGTGTAGATGAGGACCCTGACGCAGGCGGCCGTCGCTATATCACGCCCGAAACAGGAACGTGGTGGAATGATGCTCAGGTAAGGAAAGACCACGTTGCCACCCCAAACCCAATCCTGAGTCATGCATCCATCGCAGCACTGATCTCTCAAGAGCATCTTGAGTGTTAAACCGTGTGTCCGTTGCCGCTTTGTCGTGCACTGCAGGAACACTTCGGTTGGTCCGAAGTTGTGGGGGGGATCATCTTATATTCGGATGTGACGCACATGAGCAACAACGGCCGGAAAAAGGCGTGGCCGCTCATGATGACGCTGGCGAACATCGCCCAGGCCAAGCGATGGGGGAAAGCCGGTCACACACTACTTGCCCTCCTTCCAATCCCCCCATCTGCAATGTCTGCCGTGGAGAAGGTGATGCTCTTCCAGCGTTGCGTCATCACCGTGCTGCAGCCGCTTCTTGATGGCATCGCCAGGTCCGTACTCGGTTTGCATCTTGCTAAGACATCATCTCACCACCTGCATGGTATGCAAACCCTCTCTGTATGTAGCATGGCCCTTTGCCCCTCGTCGTTCCTCCCTAAAAGCCGCAACCTTGAATGCCTATTGCCACTCACTCCATTCCTTGCAGCGGGTTCCGTCTCAGGGACCCTTTCGGAGATTGGCAAACCGTGCGGCCCCTGCTGTACGCCTGGGTGTGCGACTACCCCGAGAGCGGCAAAATCAGTTGCACACTCTCGCATGGATCGCGGATGCCGTGCAGCATCTGCTATGCTGCAAAGGTGAGGTCACATGCCATCTGCACGCATTCAATTACATTCCCGTTTGTGGCTCGCCTGAGCGAACCCACATAGCTACCACCCTTACCTTTTCTATCCCATCCCTCGGCCCCGTGCTACAACAGGAGCATCTGAGTGCTGTCAAGGCACGGAACACGCCGCGCACGCCTGAACAGCAGCAATGGATCGTTAACGA